CCAAAGTTTCAGCCCTGTAGCTTTTGCTGGTCTCGAGATGAAAAATCGGTACAGAGGCCCTGCGCATACACAGACAACCTCTCGTCAGTATGTGTTTTTCGCATTGTATTGCTGCAAAAAATGCATAGTACACATGTTGAATAATAATAGGTTTGGAGATCTTGGCATATATCATTTTGCATTTTAATTTTAATTTTACATGGTTTATGATTATGAAAGATTGTAGGAAGATAAATGTCTTCAAATGCCTTCAAGCTGAATAATACATGCAAGATGATATAAACCAAGAAAGCTTGGGCTGTCAGTGTAGAGGATTGCCCTGTTAGTGATGTTACTAGGATGCTCCCACACGTCGAGCGCAGCTATGCCAGGTCCTTCGATTCTGCGCTGCATACATCCAGTTAGTACTCATCGCCTGTTCGATGTATGTGTGCCACTTTTTCGGAGGGTTGCAAGAAGACATGTGTAGTGCAGTTTAAATGTAAATGGCTGCCACTCGTAGACGTAGAAGGGCCTCCGGTCGTAAGATGTCTTCAGATGTCTTCAGATTGAATAATACATGCAAGATGATATATACCAAGAAAGCGTGGACTATCAGTGTAGAGGATTCCTCTGTTAGTGATGTTACTAGGATAATCTGCGGGCAAATCCGTCTATGCGTAGTTCGACTTCCCTCGTAGTCAGCGATTTCGAGCTGGCCAATCGAATCTAAGAGTAAATAACTCTTACCCCGGTTATCATTAACTGGCGATTTGGATGGTTAATCATTTGCACGATCACTTGTACCTCCTTTACCACCTCAATCTGGCGACCCAAATCCCTGGGATTCCGTGCATATAACTTAAGATCATCCACGTAGAATTGGTGGCGCAGGTGGAATCCGAAACCCTTTAATCACCCCAGTAGCGCCGTAGCAATGTATACTATAGCATCCGCGTCTTCCCCTCAGATATGTAAATGTGAGGGGTGTATTACGGATGCTTAATGGATAATAATAATTGAAACAGGATTGCGACCTCTGAGGACAAGGTTTGAGAAAGCAACCCGTACCATGCAGCTACAATGGTCTAGAGTTGTTTTTGTGAAATGAACGTGGTGAAATATCTGAATTTTGAGGAATATTCGGACGATTCGGGTAGCGAGCCGGATGTGGATCTCGAGAACCAGTACTACAATGCAAAAGCCCTAAAAGCCGAGAAGCAGTTCGACAGTGCATTGAGTGCCTTCCAGAATGTGCTGGAGCTGGAAGCCGAGAAAGGCGAATGGGGCTTCAAGGCACTCAAACAGATGGTGAAAATCACGTTTGCCACGGTAAATGCAATTTCTTCATCCGAATTTGTCAGTTTGACCAGGCCGTATGGTTTTCGTAGAATTTGTACAGACCTGGTATAAATTAATTCATCTTTCATTCTCTCTAACGTAGAAGCACTGTCACATAATATTTTAAATAATAATGATTTATGGTTTTTTGTTAGAAATGGCATAAGGAACAATTGCGCCACTACGCAATACCTCGATCCCTGATTCAACCTTTGGACACCCTCCCTCTTTAAAGTTTTGCAGTCTTAGGACTGTCTGACTTTTGGGGTATAAAAGCACTCCTCTCCGTCTTCGGGATCCGAAACTCTTCCAGAGCTACTTTTTCCTTTTCTGGGGAGCTTCTCCTCAGAACCTCATCACCCTTTTTGTATTGTCTTTTTTACGTTGTATTTTAGTTAGCGCACACAACTATAAATATATACATATACATGCACATGACTGAGTGTTTCCACACACACACACACACACACATACACAGGGCATGCCACTAGTCTAGCGAGTTAACCTTTAGTGTCGCAATAGCGCAAAACCACAAGTTTTTCTGGGTCTCTCCATCGAACGTTATCTGTTCTGAGCTGCAGCATGTGGTCCTTTTTCTTTTGCATTAGCCCGGTAATTTCCGCTGAAACCTGTGCCTGAAAATCAGATATAATAGAACCTTGTCGCAGGTGTTGCTGATGAAACAGAATTATTGTAAGTCGTATACATTTCTTACCACTACCACAAAACAGACCTCGTTGGTACGACGATTGTGATAACTATAATTGGTATAGATTAAATTTAAATTAGTTGTGTTAGGCATGTTCAAACCCCATAAAGTAGTTCAAACGGTAGAGGAGGCCATGATAATGCACCGTGATGTGTTTTTAATTTTTTTTAAAATTCGTCCAGAATCGTTTCGATGACATGCTGGCGTATTATCGGCAACTTCTAACATACATCAAATCAGCAGTCACCAAGAATTATTCGGAGAAATCGATCAATTCAATCCTCGACTATATTTCGACCTCTAAGCAAATGGATTTGCTGCAGATGTTCTACGAAACAACCCTTGAAGCATTAAAGGTTCTTTCAGCAACTTGTTTTTTTTTTTTAATTTTACTTTTGATGGCGAAAAATGTACCTGTTTTCTGATCCTTGATCTTCTTCTGCTCTTCATTACATCGTTGAAAAAGTTTTTGCTAAAAAGCGTTTGCACGAAATGCGCGAAAAATTTTTTATTAATTCATATGTGACTGTAATTATGTATTTTAATGCTTG